ATAGAAAAGGTTAGACACAGACTTAAAAACAAAAGCTTACCACCTGTTAGGGCCCAGAGGTTATTATAGATTCCCCCCCCCACCCCCCTATAAGGGTGAAAGGGTCAAGGCTATAGTTCAGTTGCAAGGCACTTTTCTATCCCAGGATTCAGGAGGCAGAGACAAAAGGATCACTTCAAGTTCACAGATAGCTAAGGCTACATATAGTGATACCTTATCTCAAAACAACAAAATATAAAACAGACTCACACTTGCCAAAACTTTACTGTATTTTCTTTTAATCACTTCTATAAAAGAATAAGCAGGACTCTGTTAAATTCTCCAGTCAGTGGACAATGCAAGTTCTTAGGCATTGTTGGCCTCAGTATACACACTAACTGAATAGTAGTTATCCTAGGACATGGGAAGAACCAAAAATTTGAATGTGCTGGGGCTGTAGTTCAGTGGTAAAGTGCTTGCCTATATACACAAGGCTCTGGGTTTAAAAACAAGTACTGAGCCAGGCGGATCTCTGTGAGTTCGAGGCCAGCCTGGGCTACAGAGTGAGTTCCAGGACAGGCTCCAAAGCTAAATAGAAAAGCCCTGTCTCGGGGGGGAGTACTGAAAATTAAATCAAACTAGATAGAAGACCCAAACAAAGGGATGAAATATTAAAAATATTAAAAAATATTTCACTACTAGGATAAGAATTTATACTGTATCAAGCTGATAATAGAAAAATAAATTTTTAAAAAAAGGCAGAAAAAAATGCTGGACATGTAGTTCTCATCTACATAATCCCAGCACTAAGGAGGCTAAGGAAAGAGGGTTGATCATTAGTCTGAGGTCAGCCTGGATACAGTGATACTCTCTGCCTCCCTGCTCCCCACAAAAAAGCAAAAAAATGCAACAGAGATCCATTGAGTTACAGGATGTCCCACTTTCCATTTATATAAGATTGAAGTGCTATTATCAAAGAAGGTGTGGTACTTTATCAGGTAAGTAAAAGGAAAATACAAATTGATAATTAACTCCATCTTAAATTACTGCTTCCTCAAAGAAAAATGTCACTAGAGACTGCGTTAAGTTCACTAAGTTCTGATATTCTGTGTTCACAAGCCTGCTCTTCTTGGGTATTCTGCAATGCTCACTTCCTCCTCCTGCTGGAGTCAGAGTGCCCTCAAGAACACATGTTGGTAGTTTCTCACAAAACAGCACAGATCTTCCCAGCCAGCAGGTGGAGCTCTCATCTGGTCTTGTTTCCTTTCCCAAAGAGCACACACATAATGCATACCTGTTATTTCCAGGTAGGAACTAAGCTGATTACTAAATAAGGTGATAAGAAAACAAAGGCCATGCTAGATGGTGGTGGTGTACTCCTTTAGACCCAGCACTCAAGAGGCAGAGGCAGGTGGATTTCTGTGAGTGCAAGGCCAGACTGGTCTGGAGCTCCAGGGCAGTCAGAGCTGTTATAGTGATAAATCCTGTCTCCAAAAACCAAAAAGAACCCCCTGCTGCAATACTAATAAATGTTCACACCCTAATTCCTTCCCTCCCCTTCCAAAGCTAGGGACAGGAAAGGCTTCATATAATTACTGAATTTATTTTTTGATATTGGGGGGCAAAAGCTCTACCACTGAGCTACATACCCAGCCCCCCCTTTCTTAAGCCACCACTCCCTCTTTTTGTTTCTCTGTATAGCCTTGGCTGTCCTGGAACTTGCTCTGTAGACCAGGCTGGCCCAAACTCAGAGTCCTGGAATTAAAGGCATGTGCCACCACACCCAGCTTTCTATTTACCGGTCTATAGTCTGACTCTCCATCATTAGGATAGATGCAAGCAAGGACCTGACCTCACTCAGTCCCTTGATGGCATCTCCAGAGACCAGGCCAGAGTTGAGTGAGAGGGAGTCCATATGAAGAGCAGCTGACATGCTCAATCACTGTTAACCACTGTTACTGCAATTTCAGAGTCTTGATTCCATGTGTTCACACTTGTCTAGTTAAGGAAAATGCACTGAATGGCCTCTCCTAGCCAGGCCCAGATTGGCTGAACACACACGTGTTTCAAAGAAAAGGCCCTGAGAACCTTCCAGGATTCATGGCCACGCCCCTGTCTCTCTCCCACCAGGCTGAAGTACCAGGGCATGTGCCCACCTGTTCTTCAGTCAGAAAACTGACCCAGGGGCTAAGCTGCACATTCCTGCCAGTGTGCCCTGTATCTGATAAAGTCCTGGCCCTGTTAGTAGAGCTGGCTGGGATCTGGGAGACACAGGGACTGGGTGGAGAAGTTCCAGAAAGTGCAAAGATGGGCTCCTGTGACCACTCCATGCCCCAGCATGTCTGGGCTTCCCACACCCGGCCTCCCCTCCGCAACCTGCCTTCTTCCTCTACCCAGGTACTTCCTTAGCCTAGTACTCCAGTTTCAACTTCATGAAGCACTGTGTAGGGCCGCAGGCCACGTGGGCCCTCTGCACCGGTGTGATATTTTTAACTCCAAGGTGACCGGGAATACTCTGGGGTAAGTGCTGGGATTAAAGGCATGCACCACCCCCACCTGGTCTATCCCATCTTTTTAATAAAAACTACTTATTTGTTGTGTTTCCTTGTCAAAAAGGAGTTTTTCTTGCTTTTACTGTTGCAGTGCATACTCCAGGCTAGCTGACCTGCAAGCTTCTAGGTGATTCTCCTGTCTTTTGCTTCTTGTCCTGCTACTGGAATACTGGGATTAATGGTGAACAACACAACACTTCCCTTTTTAAAAACAAAACAAAACCAAACCAAACCAAACCAAACCCTTCAATTTCTTTCTCAGTCTTTTGAGATGGGAATCTCACTACAGTGTAGAACTTGTTATGCCTACTAGGTGGGCCTCAAACTCATGGCAATTTCCCTGCTTTTCTGTCTTCCAGGTGTTGTGATTTTAAGCATACACCGTCACATCTGGCCCTTTTTATTTTGAGAGAGACTCTATGTTGCTAGCAGTCCTCCTGTCTTAGCTTCCCCTGAATAGTTAAGATCATAACCCTGCACCACGAGGCCCAGCTCAATTTCCCCAAGCCCCTGAAAAACACAGAATTTCTCTGTGTAGCTTTGGCTGTCCTAGAACTAGTTGTGTAGAGGAGGCTGGCCTTGAACTCAAAGAGATTCACCTGCCTCTGCCCCCCCAGGGCTGGGATTAAAGGCTGGGCTAAAAAGTTTCTTTCTTTTTTCTTTTTTGGTTTTTCGACACAGGGTTTCTCTGTGTAGCTTTGCACCTGTCCTGGATCTCGCTCTGTAGACCAGGCTGGTCTCGAACTCACAGAGATCTGCCTGGCTCTGCCTCCTGAGTGCTGGGATTAAAGGCATGCACCACCACCACCCGGCCCAAAAGTTTCCTTTTCTTGAGACAAGGTTTCTCTAGGTAGTTCTGGCAGTCCTCGAACTCAAAGATCTGCCTGCCTCTGCCTGCTTCCCAAGGGCTAGGATTAAAAGCATGTGCCACCACCACCGGGTTAAATTTATCTGGACAGTAGGAGTGGCTAACATGCTGAAGGGGAAAAAACCCCACAAAACTTCAGGACAAAGAATGACAGTTGACTGTGACCCTAGCAACTCTTATAAACTGATTAGGAAACACAAATAAAATTACTATTTTTTTAAAACAGGGCCATAGAACAGCTATCACATTCAAAGATTCTAAGTGTAGAGAGGGAAACCCCAACAGACACTCAATAAATTAATAGATAAGAAATTTGATGGAAGCAGTGCCTGTCTTCTTAAAGTCCTGGGTTCAGTGTTCAGCACCACACAGACCCAAATGTGGTGATGCACATGCCTGTAATTCCAGCACTCTGGAGGTGGAGGCAGGAGGATCAGCCGTTCAAGTCATTCTTGGCTACACACTGAGTTTGAGGCCAGTACAGACTACATGGGACCCTGAAACACTCCCTGCTCCTAATTGAGGACAGGGAAATTAATGTAACCACATTAACACTATGGCTTAGTAAGAACATAACCATCTATAAAACTTAATTTAAAAAAAAAGTGGGGGCAAGGCATGGTGGCACCTCCCTTTAATCCCAGCACTCTGGAGGCAGAAGCAGCCACTGAGTTCAAGGCCCAAAGCTGGTGCTGAGAACCAAACTCGGGTACTTTCCAAGAGCAGTACATGCTCTTTATCACTAAGCCACCTCTCCAGACTCTTATTTTATCTTATTATTTTTGTATAGTTTGGCTGTACATAGTCTGTGCACCACATGTGTGCCTAGTACTCATGGAGGCCAGAAGAGGGTGTTCTCTGGAAATTGAAGTTATGGAGAGTTGTGAGCCACTATGTGGATGCTGGGAATGAAACCAGGGTCCTCTGGAAGAGCAGCAAGTGCTCACAATTGCTAAGTAAACTTCAGCCCGATGTTTTATTTTAAATATTTATTTTTATTTTGTTTGTATGCATGTTTTGATTGCATGATGAATACATACCATGTGCATGCAGTACTCTCAGAAGCTAGAAAAGACACCCTGGAACTGGAGTTACAGATGGTTGTGAGCCATCATATGGGCTGGGAATCAAACCTAGGTCTTCTTCAAGAGAGCAAGTGTTCTTAACCTCTGAGTCACTGCTCCAGTCCCTCAGTCCCTACTTATATTACCCCCCACCCCCAATATGTATACAAGGTCAGAAAAGGACTTATAGGAACCGATCTTTCCACATGAATCACAGGATCAAATAGCAGAATTCTGACAAGTTTTTGAAGATAGAAAGTGATACTGGCTGGGCGGTGGTGGCGCACGCCTTTAATCCCAGCACTCGGGAGGCAGAGCCAGGCGGATCTCTGTGAGTTCGAGGCCAGCCTGGACTACCAAGTGAGTTCCAGGACAGGTGCAAAGCTACACAGGGAAACCCTGTCTCGAAAAACCAAAAAAAAAAAAAAAAAAAAAAAAAAAGAAAGTGATACTGAGTATTTGACATCACGATTTTCTTTCACCTGGAACCTTATTAGATTTCACTGGTTAGACTTTAAATTCTGTTGTCTTTCTTACCATCTGGAAATGCTAGAACAGGGTGAACACAAGAGTCCAACTGAGAAAGACGCTCCAACAGGGGGGCTTCATAGTGAATTGCAGGAGGCATGGTGTTTATACTGCCTGAACCACACAGAGCACAAGAGGGATTGACATCACAGCCAGAGCGGGTGGTGCTATTCCGGTAAACCTGTGAAAAGTAAAACAAAATTGACAATTTGTCTCTGATAAAAAAAACCTAACATCCTCCATGGGTATGGTGGTGGCACATGCTTTTGGTCCCAAGCACCCAGATCTTCTCAAATTGTCCTCTACTTTCAAAAAACAAAACACAACTCATGACTATATAATGTAAATAAATTATGCATGTTGAATGTTCTCATTCAAAATTTTTGTGTTAGATTAATTTCAAGGATAAATTATTTTCTTTAAACTTCCTTTACATACACAGGAACAAGATAGAGTTAAATGAATAAATATAAGTCCTCCAAAGACTTAATTTTTTAAAACCACAAGCTTTTAGGCTTTGAGACAAAAAGCTGAGATGTCTAATGTGGGATCCCTACAATCTTGTGTTACAAAGAACAAGCCCGGCACTTGCCAAGCATGACTCATAACATCATCTAGGCAACACCCAATCTGCAAGAAGAATATGTCTGGGAATGGCACTGTGAAAAAGAATGCTAGAAAAAAGACTAGTTATCATAATAAAACAAAACAGGAGTACCGAAACTCTACCCAAAACTGTCATCTCTCTCCTCTCAAAATTCACAGAAATCCTCTTAGTTTTCCCCATTGAATGCTGGCTTCTGTTATTTTTTGAGACAAGGTTGTACTATGTTTCCCAGATTGATCTTAAACACCCACGAATCCCTTCTTATTCTGTGTGCTGGAGTATAGGTATGTGCACCACACCTGGATTATAATTATTATGTCTTTTCTGTTTCCCCCTTTGATGGAGAAGTTAAGACAATGTCTTAGGTAGCCAAGTTTAATCTCAAACTCCTGATGCTGCTACCTCTACCACCCAAATGCTGGAAGCCAGTCATCACTGTGTGTGTGTGTGTGTGTGTGTGTGTGTGTGTGTGTGTGTGTGTGTGTGTGTTGTGTCTTTGGACACACACGTGCATCTTTGGACATGCTCATTCAATGTTCCCTCAAACATGGAATAATGGATTAGGGCCCCTGAACTATATTCACAGCCTCTTCACAGACACATTTTCAGTATGTTAAATAAGGAGAAAATAAATATTTAAGAACAATGTGGTCTTTTATCAACGTTCCACAACTGCTTCTTTCTGAAGACAGGCTGCACAGAGGGGTGGCATACAAAGAAAGTCTCCTGAAGAGTATATTGGGTAAAGTGAAGGGGTTAAATTAAATCCTAGTAAGTTTCAATGGTAGATGCTACTAAGAAAAAAATGATACTAAACATATTTATGTAAACACTATTAATTACTGTTTGAAGACAAAACTACCCATTCTACCCAGTTATTTAAGGTTGCAAGACTGTAACTAAACAAACAACCAAAAACCTTAAACAAAACACCAAACCAAACCAAACCAACCAACCAACAAAATGTTCCTCCTTTAAGGGCCATCTCTCCAGACCCTATAATAGAACTTTTTAAATAAAAAAAAAAAAAAAAAAAGATTTTTAAAAGTGTGTGTGTTTGTGTGTAGGTCAGAGCACAACTTGCATGAGTGATCTCTCTTTCCACTAAAGTAGTTGTTCTTTTTTTTTTTTTTTTTTTTTAAATTTATTTATTTATTATGTATACAGAAGAGGGCACCAGATCTCATTACAGATGGTTGTGAGTCACCATGTGGTTGCCGGGAACTGAACTCAGGACCTCTGGAAGTGCAGTCAGTGCTCCTAACCTCTGAGCCATCTCTCCAGCCCAAGTAGTTGTTCTTGATGGCAAGTATGGTTATCTGTGCTAAGCTATCTTATCAGACCATCATCTTCAGAACTTTAAGAATCTTTATAGATGGACAGTGGTGGCTTGATCCTTTAATCCTAGAACTCGGGAGGCATAGGCAGGTGGATCTCTGTGAGTTCAAGGCCAGCCTGATCTACAAAGTGAGTTCAAGGACAGACAGGACTACACAAGAGGAAACCCTGACTCAAAAAACAAAACAAAACAAAAAAACAATACAAATCAAAACAAAGAGCCTTTAAACTATTGGTGCTCTAGAATTATTACTGTTATGTCCCTTTGCAATTCCCATTCTCTTTTTCTAATTCATCCCCAATATAAATTATCCCTAGATTAATCTTCCAACAAATAGTTTATCTTCTAACAAATAGTTTGTGACACATTCCTGTCAATTTCCAAACAATAACCTTGGAATTCAAGACCTTTTATATTTTATAATTTATTATTAAGTCATTTTCAGCTATTTCTAACAAGTTTATCTTACCGAAGTCTTTATTCTAACACTGGTATTAAGATCTACAAATGACAGACATATAGATGAAACACCCATACACATAAATTAAAATACACTCAGACCTCAGAAGGTAAAGGCAGAAGGCCTAGGTGTTGAAGACCAGCCTGGGCTAACTAGTAGAGAGTCTCAAAAGCACAAAGAAAGAAGCAAAGAACAAAGGAAGAAGGGAGGGATGAAGAAGTTAGCAAGGAAAAGAAATTGTAATAAAGATTCTCTTTTAAAAGCAAGTCTTAGCCGGGCGGTGGTGGCGCACGCCTTTAATCCCAGCACTCGGGAGGCAGAGGCAGACGGATCTCTGTGAGTTCGAGGCCAACCTGGTCTACAGAGCGAGATCCAGGAAAGGCGCAAAGCTACAGAGAAACCCTGTCTCGAAAAAACCAAAAAAAAAAAAAAAAAAAAAAAAAAAAAGCAAGTCTTTGTAGTGGGGCAGATGGTTCGACAGCTAAGAGTATGTTCAGTTCCCAGCACCCCAGACGGTGGTTTACAGCCATCTCTATATAACCCAAGCCCAAAGGGATCCAATATCCTTTTCTGATCTCTGAGTGTACCTGGCAACACACTGGGCACACATACTAACATGCAGACCATCCAAACAAAATTCTAAAAACAAAATAAAATAAAGCAAAACCTTCGACACTGTCACTTTTGGCAGGGTGTGGTGGTGTACACCTGTAACCCTTGGACCGAAGGAAGAGGATCAGGAGTTCAGGCCAGCTTGGTAACATATTGAGACCTTGTATCAAAAAACAAACAACAAACAATCTCAAAAGCAAGAGTCAGGCCTGGTGGTTGACACCTGTACACAGGAGGTAAGAGGGGAGTGTCACACAAGAGATCTTGTCTCAAAAGGAAAAGGTGGGAGGAAGAAGCTAGAAATGGCTCAGTGGTCAAGAGGGCTTACTGCTCCACCACACCTGGTTAACAGTGCCAATGTCAGTGAAAACAGTGCAGATGAGAAACAGAGAAGCGTTCCTGGAGTACTTCAACCTCCAGAGTCTCTTCCAGCAGTTTTCCAACCTGGCTGCAGTTGTCTAGGAGCTTTTTGAAAAGAAGACCTTCCTATGCACAAAGTACAATTATACATGGGAAACCGCCACATCAAACAAGGCATGCTAACTCAGAAATCAAAAAAGAAAATTTCAATCTTAACTCCAAAGCAACTAAACCAAGCTCTAGGGAGAAGCAGATTTAGGAACTTTGTACTTTTTTAAGGCTCCCAGGAAATCTTGGGGGTTAGCCAGATTTGGAAAGTTTTGGGTAAATGGAGTGAGGTTGAGAACAGACTGATCTGAGTACTCACCTTCTTAGAAAGAGGAACAACGCTGCTGGGCCTAACAAGGCGCCGTTTCTTACAGCTCAGTACAGGACGAGTTCGGGCGGCCACACAGGTGCCATCAGACGATGAAGAAACTAAATTCAGCCGCTGCTTTTTATGTAATTGTTCCTCAGCATCAGAACTGTCACCTGGAACATGGTCTGCCAGGACAGGCTGAAGACTACAAAAAGGGAGGAAGATACATTTCAGAACACAGAGGAAACAAAGCCTCTCATGTGGGCTCCTGACTTTCAAATGTTCAAAGACACAGATAGGCCTTTTACAGAAGCAGGTCAACTCTGGATGAAAATGCACACTTATCTCTATGTGTGCTTACTCATGAGGCTCTCTCTCAGTGCACAACACCTATTGTGTCTGAAAGGTACAAAAGTCAATAAGCAAACTCAAGTTTTCATTGTTAGTTTCTCTTCCGTGACAGAAATATGCCTAATAAAAACTATAGAAAAAAATGATTGTAAGAAAACAATTTTGCAAATATTAATGAACAGTCTTAAAAGCAGTTCTCCAGTGAATAATGAATTCTAAGAATATATTTTATTCACATGCATAGGGATCTTAGGAACTTCACATAATTTAACTCTAGGACTTTTACTCCATGGCCAGTCTCTTTTAGATAATGGTAGGTACAAAGGATTACATAAACACTCTAAATAAAATACACTTGGTATTGGGAGGCAGACAGGTGGATCTCTAGAGTTCTACAGAGTGAGTTCCAGGACAACCAGGGCTACAAAGAAACCCTGTTTTGAGGGAAAAAACAAAAAACAAAAACCCTGGCATACTACAAGATAAAGTATTAATGAATAACAGGGTTTCTTTAGTCAGTCCTGGCTGGGAATAACTAGGGGCATTAAGTGTGAGAAATAGAAGAGACAAAAATTACCTGTTAACAACTCCATTGACAGGTCTCAGTGCTCCACATGATTTGGTAGACAAGGACTCTGAAATATGACTAACAGGAATACCATGGTTTTCTGAAGGCTGAGAAACAGACTCAATCTGAGGAAGGAAAAGAAATACAAAAGACACATTAGCATTTATCCCAGCAGCACCACTTCTCTGAAATTTCTGACAGTGAACTTGAAAAACAAAACAAAATGTACACAAGTGAGATAAAATAATTAGAGAATTAGCTCTGGAGAAAGAGGAACCCAAATATTTACCAGATTACAAGTGGCACATACATAATGACAGAGGAAGAACCTCAACATAATTCCATGGAACAAAAGTCTAGCAAAACAATTATATAGTAACATGGCTCTTCCAAAAGGGTAAGGTTACAGTAAACAATGTATCAAGACAGCTAAAAGGTAATTTCAACGTCAACCTCTGCTCCTGTACCATGAAAATTTGTTTTTCAAAAACTTGTTTTAGTCCATGGTATTGGAAATCAAACTCAGTACCTTGAAATCTAGGATCTTCAGTTGTATTTTGAGAGCGCGCACACACATACACACACACACTGCACACATGTTCTCTCTCTTTCTCTCTCTCTCTCTTTGGAGACAGGGTTCTCTTTGTTGCCCTGGAACTTACAGTGTAGACCAGGCTAGCTTCAAACTCAGACCTGCCTGCCTCTTCCTTCCAAATGCTGGAACTAAAGTCATGTGCAACCCCCACCTGGCCTGCATATATTATTTTTTGACAGAAAATAAAATGAAAATTGAAATGACGGCTGAGACGATGGCTCACTTAGTAAAGTGCTTGCCACACTAACATGATAACCTGAGTTCAGATCCCTGAACAAAAACACCAGGTCAAGCAGTACACAGATAAAATAGGTAGGTGCAGAGGTTGGAGTGGTTAAGACTGTGTATGGCAGGCCAGAGGGGTGGGGGTGGGGGGTGGCTCACGTCTTTAATCCAAGCACTGAGGAGGCAGAGGCTGGCCGATCTTCATGAGTTCAAGACCAGACCAGTCTACAAACGAACAAAAGCCTATATACTGGTCTTACACTTTAGTTCCCAGCACCTACATCCAGTGTCTCACAACCACTTGTAATTCCAGACACAAACATATACACATAATTGAAAAAAGGAAAAATAAAGAAAGAGATGGCTCCACAATTAAGATCGGTGACTGCTCTTTCAGAGAACCTGGGTTTGATTCCCAGCACCACCTGACAGTTTACAACCATCTGTCACACCAATTTCAGGGAATCCCATGCCCTCTTTTCGTCTCCACAAGTACTAGAAACACATGTGGTACACAGACCTACATGCAGGCAAAATACCTAGACATACAAAAATTAAAATCACAATCTTAAAAAAGTTGGGTGTAGTGTACATCTATCATCATTGTTGGAGAGACAGACACAGGTTGATTCTTGGAGCTTGCTGGCTAGCTAGCCTAGTTGAATCAGTGCACATCAAATTCACTGAGAGACACTATCTCAAATAAAAAAAAAAAGTGGCATTAGATACCATCTGATGTTGCCTCCTGCTTCAATACTCATATGCACATACACATACACCCACCTGCACACAAATACACATTTCAAATGAATGCAACTATCTGACACTCTTTTATTTTCTATCCGGTGCTAGGCATCAAACCCAGGGCCTAGTGCATGCTAGGCTAATGACTACTTTTATACAAATCAAGTATATAAGTAGAATATAAACAAGGAAGCTGTGTAAGGAAACTCCATAGTCTCAATATTCAAAACAAATTTTATACTTTCAGGGCTCAAAAAGAGGAAAGAGAGCTGGAGTACGGTGATAATACCAGCACACGGGAGGCCAAAGCAAGAGGAACAAGACTTTAAGGGTAGAATGGGCTATGAGGACCCTTTCTCATGTTAAAAACAACAAAATGGGGGCTGTGGTGATGAGCGGGTTTGAGTGTCAATCATAATTGTTTCTTTGAGGTATAGGCAATTGTGATAGTTTGAATGTAATTGGCCACCATAAGCTCAAAGGAAAGTCACTATTAGGAGGTGTGGCTGTGTTGGGGTAGAGATGGCCCTATTGGAGGAAGTGGGTCACTCTGGGGGTGGGCTTTGAGGTCTCATATATGCTCAAGCCACACCTAGTATTCAGATCCAGTCACCTGTGGATCAAGATGTAACTTCTTCTCCACTCTCAGCTCCTTCTCCAGCACAATGTCTGCTCACCACCATGTTGCAACATGATGATAATGACATAAAATAATGAAATTAAAAAAAATTATTTCATGTGCATTGGCGTTTCCTGCATATAAGTCTGTGTGAGGGTGTCAGGTCCCAGGTCCTCTGGAAGAGCAGTCAGTGCTGTTAACTGCTGAGCCATCTCTTCAGCCCCTGAAATAATTAAATCTTAAAAATTTTAATTCATTAAAATGGACAAAGGTATTCCTCCCTTAAAGCCTCTTTCCACTCACACTCTTACTTTTCCTTAGCCCTCTTAAGAAGGGTGTGAGGGCCGGAGACCACAGAAATTGTAATGGCACCTGGAAATAATCCACAAGCACATCTGACACACAGTAAACTGTGGTATGCCAAACTGAAATAAAAAAAAGAAATACCTGTGTGTCTCTGTGTGTACACTTGTGCTTGAAACTAGGGCCTAGCATATGGCAGGCAAGCACTTTACCAATGAACTGTATTCCCAGCTCTCTTTTTATATATTATTTGAGACAAGTTCTAAGTTGCTCTGACTGGAATAAAACCTGCAGTCCTCTGTATTGGTCTCCTAAGGAGCTAAGACCACAAGTCCATGCTATGCTCTAGCTTTAAAAGAAAAAAAGAAACAGAAAAAGAAGGCTCAGCAGTTAAAAGCACTGGTTGCTTGCTCTTCCAGAGGACCAGAGTTCCCATGTGGCAGCTGTCTTTAACTACAGTTCCAAGGAATCTGACACCTTCTTCTGGTCTCTGTGGGCACCAGACACGCAGCTGTCACACAGATACAATGCAAGCAAAACACCCATACATATAAAAAATTTTAAAACATTATTCTGAAAAAAAAAAGTAAATTTAAGGAAGACTTATCTAGCATGCCTAGGACCCTAGGGATGACCCCCAAACATTGCAAATGGGGGGAGAGGGAGAGGGATTTTGCACTCGCACACAAGCAAACCCAAAATTGTGGTGAGTTAAAAATGTACATAAAAAATAATGGAACCGCATTAGAGAAGAACTATTTTAAATTTTCCCTTACAGTGGGTAATATAGGTTGGGCATGGTGACATGGGCCTGTAATCTAAGCACCTGGGAAGCAGAGGCAGAAATAAAGAGTTCAAAGCCAAAATGAATTAATTACACAGCCAAACCAGGTCACAACAACAAAACAACAGATGAGTCCAAATAGCCTCTGACATACTTGTGAAGATTTACTATTTGCAAGGAATCTGAAAAAGTACAAACAAATATTACAGCAAGAAAAAGGAATGGGGCCTGATACTACAGGCCTGTTTTTGGAAGGGGCAAGAGGACCAAGAGTTCAAAGGCATCCTCAGCTATAGGAAACCCGTCTCTACCTCCCCACCCAACTCCCCAAATACCAAACAAAACAAGTATGGGGGAGCACCATGACACATAAGAAAGATGTAAGGTCTAGGTTAGTATTAACTACCAGCTGTAAGACATCATACATGTTACAGCCTTTTTCCAGATTTACAACAATATGGTTCAGAAGACGTTCCAATTAACTTGAAATGCTGTGACTGTCAACTACTTGGTGGTATGTACAAATAGGCAATTTCATATTCATTTAAAATATAGCCAAGCCGGGCAGTGGTGGCGCACGCCTTTAATCCCAGCACTCGGGAGGCAGAGGCAGGCGGATCTCTGTGAGTTCGAGGCCAGCCTGGTCTACAAAGTGAGTTCCAGGAAAGGCGCAAAACTACACAGAGAAACCCTGTCTTGAAAACCAAAAAAAAAAAAAAAAAAAAAAAAATATATAGCCAAGCATGATGTTGTACATCTGTGATCCTAGTATTTGTGAGGCAAGATGATTTCAAGCTAAGGGTTTAGCAAGAGCTGGAGCCCAACTTGGGTTATGTAGTAAGACAGGAACAAAATCAAATAAAACAATCTATTTGTAAAATGTTTCAGCACTACAATTCTGAAATCAGCATGATTTATGTGCCTAAAATTTCTAAGTTACCAATGCTGACTCTTCCATTTGATTAAGGTTTCTTTAGAAGAAAGGCTGAGAGGTTCATTTTTATTTTCTGACACACGGTCTCAGTATGCACTTGGCTGGACTGGAACTTGCTATGTGAACCAGATTTGCTTCAAACTCACAAAGATCAGCATTCTGTTTGCATGGCATGTATCCCTGCAGGCCAGAAGAGGGAGTAAGATCTTTTTTTTTTTGAGCTGAGGATTGAACCTAGGGTCTCTAGCAAGCGCTCTACCACTGAGCTAAATCCCCAACCCGAGGGAGCTAGATCTTATTACAGATGGTTGTGAGCCACCATGTGGTGCTGGGAATTGAACCCAGGTCCTCTGGAAGAGTAGTCAGTGCTCTTAACCTCTGAGCCATCTCTCCAGTCCCGTTACCCAGTTTATTAGACACATTCATGTAGCTAGAGTTTTCCTGCCTGGCCCACAGTCAGGACAAATTTCTCTCACCTGCCAGTCCCACAGCCGCTCAAACCCGACCAAATAAACACAGAGACTTATATTGGTTACAAACTGTATGGCCGTGGCAGGCTTCTTGCTAACTGTTCCTACAGCTTAAATGAATCCATTTCCATTAATCTATACCTTGCCACATGGCTCGTGGCTTACCGGCATCTTCACATGCTGTTTCTCATTGTGGCAGCTGGCAGTGTCTCTCTCACTCAGCCTTCCACTTCCCAGCTTTATTCTCCTCCTTGTCCCGCCTACACTTCCTGCCTAGCCAATGGCCAATCAGTGTTTTTTTTTTTTTTTTTTTTTTTTTTATTTATTATGGATACAGTGTTCTGCCTACATGCATGCTTGCAGGCCAGAAGAGGGCACCAGATGTCATTACAGATGGTTGTGAGCCACTTATGTGGTTGCTGGGAATTGAACTCAGGACCTCTGGAAGAAG